TGTTACCAACACCACTCAGAGTCATATCTTTTTCACTTGAAATCATATATTGTTCAGTCGAATTAGCATTTAAATAAAATTACTATCAGCCAATTGTATTGCACGAAACACGTTGATGTTACACATGATGATCTGAAACTGGGCACAGATTCAAAATTTGCGAATTTATGGTCAAATTTACCACACTTTTGGAATTCTGTAATTCTACGGTGACTAAGGGTAATTTCCGTGGTTTGCTGTGTTTAAGAGAAATTCTGCTGTATTCTGTGAATCACAGAAAATCGTCGGCCCTGACTTGAACCCAAAGAATCTACAAAATATAAACCAAAACTTTACGGTTGAAAACCCATAACATTACAAGAAAAACCGATTAAACCTTAATATCATATATATACGTATATTCAAACATTAGCGTATTTAGAATTAGTAAATGTCAAACTGGATTGAAGTTGCTATTGAAAAAAAATATATTACGTCATTCAAGCATGATTCTTTTCGGGACTGGAAAGTAATTGGCAGAGGAGGGTTTGGCACTATATATAGTGCATATTCAGAAGATGCTGAAAAAATTGTAGCTTTAAAAAACATTCATCACGATTCTGCTGGTGTTAATGTGAATGAATTTATTAAAGAGGTGCCAATTGTTTTAATTGTTTCTAATAAATTAAATCATTATTATTGTTATTTTTATTTGCTTATATTTATACATTCTATAATACTATAAGGTTCGAAACGTTATTGGATTTTCTCATCATGACAATATAATAAAGTTCTTTGGAATAACTCGGGGTATGCTAATTTGACCTTATGAACCTTTATCGGCTAATTGTTTATTAATAATTTTATGCAAATTAGATCCAAAAAGCGAAATATACTATATGGTTCTTCAATATGCAAATAATAGTGACCTTCGTTGTTATTTAAGTAATCGTTTTTCAGAATTAGATTGGACAACTAAAATTAGAATGGCGAAAGAAATTTCTAGTGGGATTAATTGCCTGCACAACGCAAACATTGTTCACCGTGACCTTGTAAAATAATTTTATGTTTTATTTTTCTTTCCTTTTTTTTTTTAATTGTATAAATATTAATATTATTATAGCATGATAGGAATATATTAGTGCATGACGATAGAATGATGATTGCAGATTTTGGCTTATCTAAATCATTAGAAAATAGTACAAAATCTATTGTTGGTGGAACATGTGCTTTCTCTGATCCACAGTATCTCCAAAATCCATTCTTGTTCAAGCGGGATAAACCATCGGATATTTATAGTCTCGGTGTGCTTTTCTGGGAATTATCAAGCGGTGTTCCTCCCTTTAAAGATATAGCTGACACAACACAAATATCATTTATTGTAATTTCTGGAGAAAGAGAAACTCCAGTTAATGGAACTCCGATTGATTTTTTAAATCTTTATATTAATGCTTGGAATGGAGATCCAAATTTACGCCCTAGCATAGCTGAAATTCGACATAAATTAAATCATATAAAAATGGAACCAATTTACTTTGATGAAAATATAGTTCCGAGTGAACAAGATGTTATTCCAAATGAGCAAGATATTCTGACTGAACAATATATGATTTCAAGTGAAAAAGATATGACTCTGAGTGGTGTTGGTAACAGTATTTATACTGGAACCGATGTTTCTGCACAATCTAACATGAATCCTTTTATGAAACATACTAGCCCCGTTATTTCTGCACAATCTAACATGAATCCTTTTATGAAACATACTAGCCCCGTTATTTTCGACACAACTTCACTTAATATGAATTCCATACCCGATCTATCTTTATCTAACACGTTACCTATGTATACAAATAATCCTTTGAATCCCAATTTATCTACACCTTACGAAAAATATTCAGCAAAAACAGACTTTAATACCAATAATGCATTTAATGACAAAATCGACTTTAATGTTAATAATGCATTTAATAACGAAACATCACCGAATTTACCAATTGTAATACCTATGTATACAAATAATCCTTTGAATCCCAATTTATCTTCACCATTATACAAACAATATTTAGCAAAAACAGACTTTAATGCCAATAATGCATTTAATGACGAAATCTACTTTGTTAATAATGCATATAATGACGAAATCAACTTTGTTAATAATGCATTTAATGACAAAATCGACTTTAATGTTAATAATGCATTTAATAACCAAACATCACCAAATTTACCAATCGTAAACACATCCACTAGTTCGAATATTTTTACTACTAAACATATGCCACTACCAG